CCGCCCACCTCTACAGCCTGGTGCAGACCCAGCACGCCCTCGGCGACGCTTTCGCCGACCTCAGCCAGAAGTCACCAGAGCTGCAGGTACCGGCGCCCGCGGGGATGCCCCAGCGAGCCCTCGGCCCCCATGGCGTGGGGCCCTGACTTCCCCCAACCCATCCCCCCAGGAGGAGTTCGGGTACAACGCGGAGACGCAGAAGCTGCTCTGCAAGAACGGGGAGACGCTGCTGGGGGCTGTCAACTTCTTCGTCTCCAGCATCAACACGCTGGTCAACAAGACCATGGAGGACACGCTGATGACGGTGAAGCAGTACGAGACGGCCAGGTAGGAGGGGGCAGGCGCCCCCGTGCCTCTGACGTTGCGGGCCTGGCGTCACAGCCCTGACATCACGGCCCCGCCAGGCTGGAGTATGACGCGTACCGCACCGACCTGGAGGAGCTGAGCATGGGCCCGCGGGACGCCAGCACCCTGTGCCGGCTGGATGCGGCCCAGAGCCAGTTCCAGAGCCACAAGGACAAGTACGAGAAGCTGCGTGCAGATGTGGCCATCAAGCTGAAGTTCCTGGAGGAGAACAAGGTGTGGAGCGGCCGGGAACGGGGCTGGGAATGGGGCCCTGAGCACGGAGCTGGGCTGGGCCCAGATTACACCGGGTCCCTGTGCTCTGCCTGCGGGCAGGCAGCTGTGGGGGGAGCCCCAGGGAAGGGCAGAGGTCTGCCCACGGGCTGCTCCCGGCTCTGCTGCTCCTGGCTCCACTCCTCCAGCCTTTCATTCTCCCTGTTTTCCACCTCTCAGCTCCACTCCTCCCACTTTCCCTTTTCTATCTCCACTTCTTTTCCTGGTTCTGCCTCTTTTACTTTTTTCAGCTTTCCGTTTTTGCCGCCTCTCTTCTTGTTCCCGCCTCTTTTCCCACCTATTTTCCTTCTCCTGCCTCTGCCCCTTTTCTCACCTCCTCTGTTCTGTCTGCTTCTTTTCCTTCTCCCAGCCCTTTTCCCACTTTCCCATTTCCATCTCCACTTCTTCCCTTCTCCCAGATCTGCCCCTTTTTGCAGCGTTCCACTTTCTCCCACTTCTCTTGTTCCTGCCACTTTTTCTTCTCCCACCTCTTGCTGCTGCCTCATTTCCTCCTCCTGGCTCTGCCCCCTTTCCCACCTCCCCTTTCTCTTTCCCCGTCTCTCCCACCTGGCGGGCTCCGTGGGGGCCCCCGCGGCCCCTGACGCCACGGCCCCCCCAGATCAAGGTGATGCACAAGCAGCTGCTGCTCTTCCACAACGCCGTCTCGGCGTACTTCGCGGGGAACCAGCAGCAGCTCGAGCAGACCCTCAAGCAGTTCAACATCAAGCTGCGGC